TATATATATATAGATATATATATATATATATGTATATATATATATATGTATATATATATATATGTATATATATATATATGTATATATATATATATATAATGTATTTATATATATATATATATATATATATATATATATATATATATGTATATATATATATATATATATATATATATATATATATATATATATATATATATATATATACAATGAAGGTATATAGAACATATATAGGTATAACGAAAACTTTATTTATAGTTTTTAACCCCTAAAAGCTGCTGATACCTATTCTATTATTCCATAGGACCTCTCTCGTGCCCTTTACTATACTGAATGGTATACAAAAATCAGAGGGAGGCAGTAAAAATTCGCAAAATCACTATTAACCTCTTCTTCCGACATACCAGAATCATATTCACAACGTGGAATACAATTGAGAAATCAAACACATTAATAAATCCTCCATATATTGTTCACAACAATTTTATAACTGCTTATGAGGGAAATATTTAAGTAATGTTACACTTCTAACGTAATTCATTTCGAGATGCAGTGCTTGTGCTCTCCTCTATCACAGCACAGCATCTGTTGGGAATCCAGGCCCGTGTACTCCCAGGGTCCGCCGCACATCTCGTAGTAGGCATGAACCTGTGGGGAGGCGAGAGGAAATCTTAATGAGGAAATCTTAAATGAATCGATGTGACTTTAGATCTAGAGAGCTGTTAATGGTTCTTAATTTTTTTTTTTTCATTTTTTTCTGCTACATTGATGATGATGGCGGACCATTACGATGATAAGACGGAAAGGAAATTCTTTGATTAAGAGGAAATCTTAATGAAGAAATCTTTAATGAATCGCCGTGACTTTAAATCTAGAGAGAAGTGAATGGTTCTTAAGGCTTTTTTATTTTTTTTTTTATACACTGATGCTGATGGCGGACCTTTACGGTGGTAAGACGGAAAGGAAATTCTTTGCTTACGTATGAATTGTGGATGAAGAAGATGAAGTGAGAATATAGGTCTTCGCAGATGTACTGGCCGATCGTGGCGTTGTTGGCGGTTGACCACAAGTCCATGTCGTTCGTCATCTCGTTAAGCTGATGATAAAATGCAAGATTAACGAAGTGAAAAACTGTATATGGTCATCATCATATTTTGGAAGGATTTTTGTAGGGATAAAAAATGTAATGAAATATGTATGTCTGATATTATGTAATGAAAACTGAGACCAGCGAATACATAAGCCATTCTATAAATGCAGAGTTATAGAATACTCCCCCGGTTCCCCAAGTGAAAGCAAATAACTCCTTAATTGAAAAAAATAACCAAAGGAAAAGAGAATGAACAAAATGGGAATTAACAAAGCCAGCAAGAGAAAGAAAAAAAAAAAAAAAAAAAAAACAGTTTCCATAGTCTGATCAAATCTGACATAAACGGAGGACAAGCGACTCTTACCTCTCGAATGCAATGCCATTTGCACTGGTCGTGGCTGTTGCAGTCGGTGATGTTGACCTCCGGGAGTTCGAGGACCATCCACTCAGCGTACGAGGACGAGACGAAGAGGGCGCAGCGACACCATGGCTCGCCCTGGCCGCTGGAAGAGGAGATTTGACAATTTAATGACAATTTAATCCAAACTGAAATTACGAATCAGGAAGATTACGTGATCAGCAATCGCACTATGCTACAGAGATCTCGCTAGGTCTGAGAGAGAGAGAGAGAGAGAGAAAGTTCGATATGCAAAGCTGAACCTCGCCCGGACTATGCCTATGAGCAAAGCCCGGCCTGTGTTGACTAATGTCGACTCGCTAACGTGTGTCAGCTAGTGCCTACTCGGATGAGCTTAGTCCTTACCCGCCGTGGTGCCCAGCCAGAGCAGTAACCTTCAGGCGACAATTGCAACTTCCCGCGCCTGGGCGGGGCGCGAACCGCCGACCCCTCGGATGAGAGGCCGACACGTTACCGCTGTAATAGCCCGGAGGCTAGAGGGAAAGAGTAACCAAAGAGAGAAAGAAGGATAGAAAGGTCTGAGAAAAAAAGAAAGAAAGAAAGATAGTCACAACAATCATATAATAATAATGATAGTAATAGCACTAATACTAGCCTGATCAAACCGACAGCAACGAGGGCGGTCAATGTAAACAGTAAGACCTTCATGGTGAGTGAATTCTGAAACTCCGTCAAAGGGTGAGGAACGCTGTGTTAATATACCCTACACTGGCTTGAAAAAACGTGGAACCTGCTAAGCAACAGCGACATGGTACAGATTGGTCAGTGCACCTCATGGGGTATAGTTGTATGACAAATTGGTATAGACTCTTTGTTGTGCATGTGTATGTGGCGTGTGTGTGTTTTCATACACACATATATAAATATGCATGTATATGTATATGTGTATATATAATCGATATATATACACACACAGACACGTATGTGCGTGCGTGTTTCTGCGTGCGTGTGTGTGTGTGTATGTATGTGTGTCTACATATATATATATATATATATATATATATATATATATATATATGTATATATATACATACACACACATACACACACACACACACACACACACACACACACACACACACACACACACACACACATATATATATATATATATATATATATATATATATATATATATATGTAAATATATAACATGATATAATGGCGAGTTTTGTCATTATTTAGAAACACCCTTGAAAGAAACAATGGATATTTGTAGAAACTGTTTATTTTGAGAATGCTGACAGTGTGTATAACTTCACACATAACCAATTCAACTATTATATAAAAGATATGCTGATGCCATATTGTTTAGTAATGTTTCACATGTAAACATATTATTAGACTATGCTAACTCTCAACATGATAACATACATTTTACTTCTGAAGTCAACAACAGTATTTGTTTATTAGACTTGATCATAATCACAATGTACATAGTTTCACTTTTATTTTCTCTTGCATATGCAGATTATCATGATGGATATAACCGTTGATGTCCGTAAGTTCAATAGATGAATATACGCATGATGTGATTTCCTACTGTCCTGGCCCTCCTGTTTGTTTATAAGAATCTATTGTGGAAATATATATATGTATATATATATATATATATATATATATATATATATATATATCTTAACCCATTGCCGCCGGGAAAATGAATACGAAATGGGGAAAATGCTGTACTCATATTTTATATTTTTGTGAAAGATCTCTGTACATAGATGGCTCTGCTAGTCCTGATTTCACCTTTCCTTGAATTGGCGGGAAAAACGTATTCTTACTAGTGCTTTAAATATAGATGGTGTTATTTTTAACAGCAAATTAGGATAACGTTAAATATTTTCGTAAATCGATGAAAAGGGTGAACGGGTAAGACAGGCACATCTATGTGTAAAAACAATCAAACAAGTCGACTCACAGTGGGCATGGCATGTACGTACATGCCATCCCACTGGGTTAATGTATATATGTATATGTATACATGCACACATATATGCACACACACATACACACATGTACATACATACATATATATATATATATATATATATATATATATATATATATATATGTATATATATATATATTGTCTGTGTGTGTATTCATGTATAGATATATGATATATATATATATATATATATATATATATATATATATATATATGTATATATATATATATTGTCTGTGTGTGTATTCATGTATAGATATATGATATATATATATATATATATATATATATATATATATATATATATATACATACACATATATATGTATGTATGTATATATATACATATATAATGTGTGTATATATATATATATATATATATATAAATATATATATATATATATATATATATATATATATATATATATATATATATGTATATATATGCATTTATGTGAAAAGGAAAAACAGCCACAGTAAGAAATAAATCGTGACGTTTCGAACTCTTCACGGGTTCCTCGTCAGGCGAATAATAAACCGAAATGGATCATATTATATATATATATATATATATATATATATATATATATATATATATATATACAAACACATGCTAAATCACTTTCAAAGCAACTAATGGAAAAACTGAATCTCATAAATCTACTTATTTTTGCGTGATAAAACATTTGGAAATGCTAAGTCTGTTAAATGCAATTCTACACAGAAAATCGGTATGCGTTATGTTAAAACTTCTCTTCATTATTAAAATATTCATTGTGTAGGAAACATTATGAAACGTTAAGATCAATAAATCTTGACCACAACGGAATTATGCCAAGGTCTGACGCAATATTTCGGTTTGTAGAAAAAATATGATATAACCGAAAAAAAAATCAGTACTGATGTAGTAGATCTGGAGATTTAATATTTTGAAACGTATGAATGATAAAAAATATAAAGAATTAGGTATGACTATGCTTATGAATTTAGACTATTACTAAAAGGTTAGATTAAAATAAATAAACAAAAATGATGACGCTCGAAAGTGAATCAACGGACAAAATTAGACAACGCATAGGCTTATAATGCATGTGGATTGTCATAGAAGAGAGATAGCCCGAACAGGATGGACATAAGTGGATGAAAGAAGAGAAAAGGAAATAAGAACAGCATAAGGCGGGGACAAGAATACAGAAAAGGTGACAGATGGTTCCAAGGCATCAGGGAGAGTGTATGGTGATAGACAGACGTATGCATGTATGTACGCTTTTCGTTAAAAGTTGTTAATTTTCGAATACTACTGAAAGTTATCGTTGTAAGTTGGCGTATTACCTAGTGGCCTGTCCATAAACCTTTTATTAGGTGTAATAGTCTCTTTACTGTTCTCAGGTAGAGTATACATTTTGTATTATATAACAGTTATGCTGAATTAGGTGGCATTTATCATAGGTTTCCAACAATTACATTCAAAGATATGTCAGTGCCTGTTTATTGGTTACATCAGTCACAAAAGCGGACGGATAAAACGTCCCTTAGACTGGTGTCCAGAGTGTCATTCCCGCGCGTTTCACTTGGAGATGCAGTGTTCGTGTTGTCCCTGGTAACAGCACAGCATCTGTTGGGAGTCGAGGCCGGCGTATTCCCAGGGTCCGCCGCACATCTCGTAGTAGGCGTGGACCTGTGTGGTGGGGGAAGCAAGACGTTTTATATGAGATGGTTTTGGGGCATATATTAAGATATTTGGTAAATATAATCATGGTGCAGGAAGAAATCAAGAGAAAACCATGGCTGTTTCTTACGTATTTGTTGTGGATGAAGTGTTCCACGTTCTGGCAGAGGTAGGAGCCAACCGTTTGATCGTTGACTGTTGACCACAGATCCATGTTGTTTGTCATCTCATTGAACTGTGAACAATAATAATTTAAACTGCTTGGAGATTTTTTAAAGTTTGCTGATTCAAGATGTACAACTTTCTCTAAAGTCCGATGGTGATAGTTGGCCAAAAATATATGCACGTTTTGGGCAAAACTTTGTACCGTCAGAGTTCATCATTCCATGAGTTGTTCTTCATTTACAGTAAAGGTTTCATAGCTAGGTTAGGAAACACTATCCCAGGTTCAGATAGATAGACCGCCAAGCAGATAGGTAGATGAATAGATTGAGGAAGACATATATAAAGATAGAGATAGAAATATGAATATAAAAAACAGACTGTTCTGCAAATTCATGAAAAACTAAAGATATCTGTAACGAGAATGGACACTGGAGTCAACAAGGGAATCTCATAAGTGAAGAGGCAGAAATGGAGCCTTGGAAGAAGGCAATCACCACTGCTTGTTAAACTATGTAAATGACACCAGGCTTATTAATAATGACAAAAACATCTCTCGTTCGTCTGCTACATTTGTAAAATACAAGTAACTCGAACCTCTTTGGTGCAGCGGTTCTTGCACTGGTTGTGGCTCTCACAGTCGGTGATGACCACTTCCGGAAGCTCGTAGACCATCCATTCCGTGTGTTCAGTCGAGACGAACATGGCGCAGCGACACCATGGCTCGGTTTGGGCGCTGGGGAGAACATATTTACATATATATTTTTTTCACTATAAATTTAATATAGACCCTATGAACATTATTATTCTGACATTAGTAATACCTTTTCCCTTTTCGAACTCACCTGACGTAGGCGAAGCCGAGAACAGTAAGAGCAAGGACGATACTCTTCATGATGTCAGGTGAAAGACACTGAAGAGGAACAGCAACAACCCCCTTTATATATGACGTCCCAAGGTCCAGCTCAACAGGTGGCTTAACGCAGGGTAAAACACGTAGTGATTTGAGTACAGTGATATCTCGGACGCTTTTTTTTCTACTTTGAAACTACTCCGTATGGTTGCAGGGAAATAAACGAAATTGCGTCAATTAAGGAACCGAATATTTCTATAGTGAATCAATTATTAAGATAAAAAACGTACTGATTACTGACGCACATCACACACTGCGCGAATTAATTTACAGATGCAAAACAGAACGTAAAAGTAGGGAAAAAAAAAAACTGGAATATCGCATAAAATACACAGAACCACAAACCACCGTCACATTCTCTGTTACCAAACTCTTCTATATCCGAAATGTGTAAGTTATTGGTTTAAATGCGTCATTTAAAATCGGTAAAGGGCAGCGCAAGTTAATTACAGACATTAATTTAATAGTAATGAATGGTAATGATTATAATAATAAGCATGGTAATGACATTGATAATGAGTATAATAATCATGATAGTGATATTGAGAATGGTAATGATAATGATAATAGTAATAATAGTAACTATTATAAGCGGATAATGATAATAATGATAACAATAATAACATTAACAACAACAACAATAACAATAATAATCATTATTATAGCAATAAGGATGATGATGATGAAAATGAGGATGATAATAATAATAATAGTAATAATAATGGCGATGAAGATGATCAGAATGACTTGATATTGGAGATAAACTGATAGAATTGACTAAATACACAAAAACATATTTTTATTATCTTTTGTAGTCTTTTTTATCCATGTACTTTTTATCAGCATAATGATGCGTAATTTACCAAGAAACTTCATTTAGAAAAATAATCAGAAACGTTCTTCACAAATACAAATTCGTGGTTTCAAAATTGAATTTGCAATCAGAACTTCAAGGAAATTGCGGGTAAACAAGTTCCTTAAAAATACTTCATCCGCCATTGTTATGCAAGCTATGGCCAGTACACCATGCACTTACTAGGACAAAGATACTATTCATGATCTTTAAACATATCTTTAATAATGACTGAATATATTTATTCATCAAAGTTTTGGATTCCCTTGGTAAAGTTTTCTTGCAGATTTACATTTATATACTATATCTATAGAAAAAAAAATCATTTCTATATATCTTTTCTATTTGTTAATATATTTTTTAATGTATTTTTTTCGCATTATTCAAATAATAAGTACTAGACTAGGTGTCTGTGGCATTCCTGAAAACTCTTTATGGTCCACAGTTTGAAATCACAGTTTGACTCGAAACATAAGTATTATGGCATCACATGGTACCATGATACTTTTTATTTGCAACGCATACTTTCTTTATTTCATCTTATACCATCGTAATTGGTCTACGAACAAATATTCCCAAAAGGTTTATGATGAACTGCTTTTTAAAATAGCTGAGCATTGATCATTTGATTTGGATTGATCATTAACACTATCATTATTACTGTTTGTGCGTTTGGGTGTATGAACAATAGTGATGAAGCATTTTGAAGTAATTACGAACGGGTGAGTCCAGTGAATCGTTGTACCCAAATCTTCATGACGTATTGTCCTTGATCTCCGTGTACTGTGCCGTACGATGGTACGTTGCACTATAGTTGCTAAGCTCGGCCTTGAGACCTTATATATAAAGAGGTAGTTTGATTCTGTGTGCAGTGTCCTCCTAACGACATCATGAAGAACATCATCCTTGCATTGGCTGTCCTCGGCTTCACCTACGTAAGGTGAGTTCAAAGAGTTTTTAAAAGTGATAATAATAAAATTCGAATTGAAAGTATTCATTGATCCAGTAGTGCATCTATAATTAAGACATTTCCCCCAGCGCCCAGAGCGAGCCATGGTGTCGCTGCGCCCTGTTCGTCTCGACTGAACACACGGAATGGATGGTCTACGAGCTTCCGGAAGTGGTCATCGCCGACTGCGAGAGCCACAACCAGTGCAAGAACCGCTGCACCAAAGAGGTTCGGGTTTAAAGTATTTCGTTTTTACGTTCGAATTGTGAAGGTATAAGAGAACATCTATAGCATTACTAATAGTGATAGAGCAGTATACATATACCCATGTGTTTTTGTGGATATCTATATATGGAGACATGTAAAGAAGGTGAACTTAGTCTTGATCCACTGATGGTACAAATACAGTTATTGCGTTTTCTAGTTAAGTTTGCTAGAAATTTAGCTACATTTCATGTACGTGTTAGCCTCTAACTAGACAAGATTAAGAATCATAAGCTAATTCACTTTATTTTCACAGTTCAATGAGATGACCAACAACATGGACTTGTGGTCAACAATCAACGATGTAACGGTTGGCTCCTACCTCTGCCAAAACCTGGAGCACCCTATCCATAACAAATACGTAAGAATCAATCAGCATTTCCTCTGGCTTCCTCCTGTCCACATGGCCATACTACATATTTCAGAATCTATCCAAAACCTTCATCCGTTCAAAATGCTTTTCCTTTTCGTTCGCAGGTTTACGGTTACTACGAGATGTGCGGCGGTCCCTGGGAGTACTCCGGCCTGGTCTCGCAACAGCTGCTGTGTTGTCGTGATGGAGAACACAACCACTGCATCTCCAAGTAAAGAGTGTGGAAGTAAGACTTTCCACACCAGCACAGACTGAATCTTATCTGGTAGTTTAACGATGATGTGTAAAATCTGAATATGGTGTTGAGGGTTATGAAAAAACTTTTAGAGTAATAAACATTTTAAATGTTATATGCACCAGCGCCATCAGTGTTCCATTTCCTTCCTGATGTACCTATGCCGAGCGTCTTGTGATTTTTCATGATTGTAATCCTTAAACATGCTATTAGTGATTAATAAAAGAGTGAATAACAGATGGAAATGTATATATCAAATCTTAAGAGATTATGTTACATAAAAATATTCGAGAAAATAAATCTATGCTTAAAATACCCAAGGCTTTCACCAACATCCTATAAAGACGAGAACATTACAAACACACAGACGTGCCATCATATCATCTTTTTGTCTTTGTATGTGACTCTGCATTTGTTTGTATGTATGTACTGTATGTAGGCCTGTGCTTGTGTCTGTATATGGTCATTCACATAGCATATCCTGTTTATCTCTTTTAATATAGTACACTGGACAGATCAATATTCCATTCCAGCTGCTTCTTGCACACGTTATAACACCTGTTATAACGACTAACAGTTCCTTTATAGTGAATTGCCACGTTGGATGCAAATGTGAAAATAATTACTTGGACGTAAGCGATGGCATGGGCTCGATGTTTTCATCACCTTTAGTCATGCCAGCACAAAGATACACATGCTTGGTCATCCTGTGTGAACATCAGGTGGACCGAGACAGATAAATACACGTTCAAGATTATCTACCTGTTTCTGAGCCACACCCACACAAGAGGCGTTTTACCAGGCTACTCTTACTTCACATTAAACAGCATTTCTCTCCTTTGGGCTTTTTTACACACTTACTATGAGGCTTTGCGGCTTACGATGACCACCGTCCGTGTCGCTGTTGGTGCAATGAGACTGTCTTTAGTTGCATACGTAGTTTTCTGGTTGATCTCTAATATATTTACGAATTTAGAATCTAAGATTTGCATGTTCTGGTATAAGGAACATGAAATGATAAATACGTATCTGATTAAATATTCTACTGATGTTTCCCCCTTTTGTCTCTCTCTCTTTTTCTCTTTCCGTGTTGTTATATCATAATTTATTATATATTACTTATTTATCTATCAAAGTATATTCATGTATATTATCAGTAGCTTTACAACACAGTTTTACATAATTTTCTTAACAATATAATAGAAATCTTAAAACTAAGAAATAACTCATAACCTTTCTACACAAATATTTAACAAAACTTAAGGTTTTCAAAATTAGATTTGCAACATGAACATCAGTGCTTATCCAGAACTATCTACCTGTCTGAATATATGATTAATTGATTATTTAAAATTATCTGCCACATCAAGAGCTAAGGTGTCTTATAAGTATAAACAAATATCAGTAAATATTATATTAAAAATCAAAGCATAATATGTTTTAAAAGTATGAAATTATTGGACAAATATGCATAATTACATTCTGTCTAAAACATTAGTTTACCTTAAGTAACTAATAAAACTTTCTGCGACACAATCCTCCCCCCCAATACACTTTTCAGTGTATATGGATGAGACAAGTAATAATCTTTTTTATACATGACAAACATCAAATCAAACGAAAATGTATCTTAGAGCACCATTCAAATTGCTACGAGAAAATGCGCACTGAAGTTCGTTGCAACTCCACTAGACGCCATTGTTATTTATGCTGTGGTCGTTATATCTAGGATAATGTGGACAAATCCCCTTGTGTGTCACTGTTTCCTTGGGCGCTGTATTGGTTCCCTTGTGTTAAAGGGTTGGGCAAGCACTGGCCAGTTCAGATGTGATATGTATGTGTAATTGTTATTATACATTTGTCATTTGTTCACTTATCTATGTATTGTTAGATATGTGGTTCATTTAAACTTCGGCTGTCCAGGGAAAACTTCGTATAGACTCACACCTGTACTATAGCTATACGTATATATTGATAAGCATACATATACTTCATAATGCAGAATTGCGCGCCTTCAAACGCACGCATTAATTTACATAATAATCTAGAAGAACTCGGCAACAGAATGCAAAACCATTTTGAGGTTTGGATCATTTTCTATAATGTCACTCGGCGTCCGCAGAGAGAAAGGAGCAACAGATCGCGAAGTTTGCAGTGAGACATGAGAAAAAAAGAGTAACAAATTTTGATGTTTTGATTTAGACTAACGCCCTCGTCAGCACTGTGCGGAAGTACGTGTACTGTCAAATTTCAATTTTGCTGCACACATGGCTCGAGAAATACTCAGCTACCAAGGCGTCGATTAGCAGGCCCTGCGTGGCCTCAACTGATATCCCATTTTTATTTTTTTTTCTAAAACTGTCAGCACCAATACTGTTAGGATTGTTATTGACATTAAGACTGTTATTAATACTAAGAACAACAAATATAATATAATTTCCGAATATTAGCGAAAAGATTAAACAGGTGAGGCTGGTAGGACTAGTACCTATCTCCCTGGCGACTAAGTTCAGCTCCTGTCTTTTGGTTTTATTGTCTGATAAGAAACCTAGTCTTTTCCAAAACATTATGATGTATTGTCCCTCTCTTTATTGTTGCTGTTTTATTTCAACGTGCACACATATTCCTGTGTCTGTACGCTTGTTCATCTTGTGTGATAATTCGATCTATTTTCTCTCTTTCCTGCCCCTTTTTAATTTTTAGGGTTTATCACACTGGGAAGTATAGTCATTTTCATGATACTTTTTATTCATGACACCGACCTTACTTCATCGTAAGGCAGGGTTATCGATAACCGCAAATAGCCGCAAAATACCCATGATCGAGATTTTTTAAAATGATTTAACATTTAATAGTAAATTTATTTTTATTGCCACTTTCATTACATGTGTATTAGTCTGTATCACACATTGAACAAAGGTGATGACGCAGTTTTAAGTAGTTCCGAATGGGAGAGTCCAATGTATCATGTTCCCATATCTCCGTGTACTGTACCGTTCGTTGATGCGTTGCATTATGTTTGCTAAGCTGGGCCTTGAAATGTCATATATAAAGAGGTTGATTGTTTCCTCTTCAGTGTCTCTCTTCCGACATCATGAAGAACATCGTCCTTGCTTTGGCTGTCATCGGCTTCGCCTTCGTCAGGCGAGTTTAAAAAACATTGTGTTAAAGAAAATGATATTTTGTCAGGAGTTTGAAATTTGAACTATAATTAATTATTTTATGGATCTATAAGTAAGGCTCAGTTACATATGTACATACAATATATCTATCTAATTATTTATCTGTTCATTTAAGTGTGTGCGTGTTGTGTGTGCATATTTATGCATAAATACATACATATCTATATATACTCACATATATATGTCTATGTATATATATTT